AGGAATGCCTCCTGCCTGCATGCCGGCCCCTGCCATGTTAGGAACCTGCAGAAACAAGAGAGGAGGTAAGGTTGTCTCTGGATTCAGCCGTACAAATACAGGAACATAAAGCAGATGATCAGATGGATGCCCTCACAGATAGCCTGAAGATACCAGAGCATGAAGAGAGACAGGCTACCGCGCGTTTTACAAGCTCTCCTCTCCCATCAACTCCTGCACTCCTTCCTGCGCATTGCAAAGAGGTGGAGAGAGGCCTGAGCCTCGTCCTGTCCCCAGCAGATGGGCAATGCCTGGGGAGATGGGACGGATGCCCTGATCCCCTCAGAGAGCCACTGACCCAGGCCTTGTGCTTCCCGGAGGTGCTGCTCTTTGGGATGCTCTCCCCTCTCCAGCTGCTGCAGGACGCGATCACACCCTGACCCCAGCCCCAGTCTACAAGATACTGTTGGTGCCCAACCAGGGGAGCAGAGGTGTTGTGTGTACCTGGCGGGGCCCCTGTGGGCCACTGGCTCCCATGTTAAGTGGCCCAGGACCCTGTATCCCCCCAGGCATGGGGCCACGCGGGTTGGGACCAGGCCCTCGAGGCTCCAGACCCCGAGGTTCCATGACCCTGGCCTCCATAGCCCTGGCTTCCAGCACGCGTGGCTCCAGGACCCGTGGCTCCAGGCCTCGTGCCTCCAGGGCTCGCGCCTCCATCACCCGGGGCTCCAGCCCTCGCGGCTCCAATCCTCGTGGCTCCAGCCCTCGGGGATCTCTTCCGACTGCAGAGGAAAGACAAAGTAAGCTGTTGAAGGCAGCAGTGTCGCAGGGAGTGTGGGAGTGAGCCCGCTGCCTCCTTTGTCTGGGGGCCAGCAAATGCCCAGAAGGTGCAGGGCTGGGGACGGAGGGGACAAGCCTGCAGGAAGCCCCTTGCCCTGGGGCACTGTCCCTCCTTGCCCTGGAGTCAAGTCGTTTCACTGCCCGAATCCCCTTCCTACATCTCGCGTCGGGGCAGCGGGCTCCACTCTGACTTCTTGTCTGTATGCTTTAAGCCACCCATTATTTCATGCCCCCTCTCTCACCTCGAGCATCCATCAAGGGCCCCCGCGGCTCTCCCATCAGCGGTCGGGGTTCTCCCATGGGTCCCCCCCTCATCTCATGAGGGGGGCCACGGCTGTCATGACCAGGCATATGGTGCATAGGGGCTCCCTGGTGGGGCGGCCCAAGGTAACCTCTGACGCAGAGAGACGAGGAGAGCAAAGCAGAAGGAGGAGAAAAAGCGAGAGAGTGTGAATCAGACACTGGCTTGGCACGGTCTGGGCAGAGCGCTGGGATTGCCGGCCGCAGGGGAGGAGGGCGAGGCTGGCACAGGGACGGGTGCTGTCGGCCCCATGCCACAGGGCTGCTGCTATCACCCCGGGGATGCCCCGTCCCCGGGGGAACGGGCCAGCCCCCGCGGTCGGCAGCACACAGGCCTCTGACCAGGCAGCGGTGACTCCCGGAAGGCTGGTGCCATCCCTGTCCTCAGTGAGAGGTCACCCTTGGGCAGGGAACAGTGCCAAGGGCTCCTCTCCTTCCCTCTCCCCTCACCTGGGCTCCACTTCTCCAGTGACTGAGAGCAGGGTCCCTCCGCGAGGGTCATTCGGGGCATCTCCCAAAAGGCCTCGGGGTGGCGGGCCACTAGCAGGTAGAGGTCCACGCTGCATAGGGGCCCTCGGGTCTGGCATGGGCACTGCCAGGGAGACACACAAGAGCTCGTGAGGATCTGCATGACCAGTGCCGTGCCGAGACTGTTCCCCAGCACCCTCGGGGCTGGGGTGTGGGGTGGCCTCGCTGCTCCCCGGCGCGCAGGCGGGTGAGCCGTGCTGACTGCCGGGGAGGCAGCTCCTTGCACAAGGCCAGAGCGCACCAAAGACCCTGCCCTGGCTACTGCTTTTATCCCTCTCTGGCTCTACCTCAGGCTCCTTATGGCACCAGGTGGCCAAACCAAGCATGGGTGCCCCCGTGGCGATCCCTACGAGCACGGGCATCAACGCCCTGCTGATGTGGGGCCAGGAGCAAAGCAAGACCTGGAAGTCTCCTGGTAACGAGGTGTCAAAGGGGGCTGGATCCTAGGCAAAGGCCCTCTCCAAACATGCTCTCCTTTTCCACTGGTGGCTCTCTGTGCATGGTGCCAGCCTGTTCTCTCCTCTGGCCCCAGAGGAAATCCTGCCTCCTCCTCCTCTTAACCCTGCCAGGCTACACAGAGTGATATGCCAGTCCCCGGCCCCGAGCATAAGCGGGGTGAAAGCTGCTCTCTGCACACTCCACAACAAGCTCCACGGGAGGAGGGAGCTGGCGGGTGCCAGGATACCTTGAACGCGTTCGATAGACGCAGGCCTGGCAGGTCCCACGGGCGAGAGCTGCAGGTTCCCTGGGTAAGCAGCAGGAAAAGAGGGAGAAGAGCAGACACGTAAATAGTGTATGCATACATGCACTCAGCTTTGGGGACTATGCTGCCTGCAGGATCACCTCCGCTCCCTGAAGTCCCCCGGAAAACCTACGGGGAAGATGCTGTATGCTGCAGGTCTGGCTTTATCAACCTCTTCCATCAACACCACCTCTGTCACTACAGGTGTGACAGCCAGCTTGGCACAGCCCTTCCCTCTCTCATCACGTAAACGTGCAGGGCAGGAGGACGTCCTGCTGAGAGAATCGGCATTCTATGGGGCCACGATGCGCCCCACAACACACAGTCAGCCAGCTTCTGCTTCTGCCCCTGCCCCTGCCCGCAGCTTCCCACAGCACTCCCCAGTGCCAGCTTTCTGTCTGCTCTCCAAAACCTTCTGGGTGCCAAGAACTACTGGGTTGCTCTCAGGAAGATGGTGCCCACCCCAAAGAAAATGAGAATACCTAAGACCAGAGGATCTCAGAACAGGTTTGCCACGTTCCTGAAACAAGGCCTACAATACAAGTCAAGGCAATAGAGGTGTCAGCTGCCTGCATGCCTTATTACAGGGAGAACAGGAACGCCTTTGTTGTGCTAACCCCAGCGCATGGCTTGACGGGGCAGCCATGCAACCTGTGAACCGTAAGGAATCCGGCTCTGGGGCTGGGCCATACAGACCGTGCCTGCAGAAGGAAAGCCAAGCCATCATTCACCGGGAAATTCCCTGCCAAGCCTCGCACTCACTGTCGCAAGCAAAAGCAAAGGCCCAGCTCCCTCTGCTGGGCACCGTGCAGGGAGCGTTGGGTGGTGCGGGCAGACGCGGTGGCAGCAAAAGCTGCTTCCCAGCACCCAGGCAGCAAAGGAGCAGGACAGGGACCAGAGAAGAGCAAGCTCTGCCTGCCCGCACAAGCACAGGGAGAGACACGAGCTCACAGAGAGATGGAAAACACAGGCATGTCCCGCTCAGTGGGGCTCTGCGGGGACTGGCATTTCTCCTGGCTTCCAGGGCACGTCTGCACAACACGGCGCAGAACAAGCTGGGAGCAAACCAGTGCATGGGCTGGCGCCCCGGAAGCAGGAGAGCTGCTATCACAGCCTTGCGCCTAAGCGAACAAACCCAGGTGCAGCCTAGCGCTGCGGGAGCTGCCCCGGATCTGGGGATGGCAAGGCTGCAGGTAGCTGGCAGGGGTTCTTGGCACAGCACTGCTCAGCACCCATGGCCTGGACCCCCACTGGGGAGAGGCTGACGTGACATACAGCACTAACTCATGTCCATTTTACCTTGTCCACGCTCCAAGGGGACAGGCCCTCCGCCCGGCATCCCAACCTGTGGCTGCATCCCACCTGAGAGGGAACAAGCAGAGGTCAGAGTCCTCTTCAGCCACCCCTGCACTACTAACGGATTCCTTTGCCCCCAAATACCTCCCCGCGCTCAGCTCCTGGGGGAGCATCTGGAGGTTTATTTTCTTGGTGTTGGTCCCTCACAGAGATAAACCAACTTTCTGGACTGCCACTGGCAGCAGCCACAACCATGACATACGGTATAGGACTACGTGTGCTCTCATGGGGCCAAGCCCTCTGGTTAGGGGGAAGGTAGAGGTGGGCTATGTGCAGGACCCATGTGCCCAGGGCACCGTTCAGCCAAAAACCACGCACTCACCTCCTGGAGCCATGGGGCCAGGGCCTGGGCCCTGCACAGGGGCTGCCATCTGTCCTGGGGCCGGCACTCCTCCCTGCATGGGCGGCTGCATCAGAGGAGGAGCGCCATTCACGTGCATCCCACCCTGCCCAGGAGAGAAACCGGACCTCAGGGAAGCTCCGTCAGCTGGGCACGCACACCTCAGCTGGGAGAGCTGGAGCTGGCAATGCCCATCTCTCCCCTACACAGCACATGCCTCGCATAAGCTCTTACTATGGACTGCGGCTGGGACGAGGGGGTATTCTGTGGGTTCAGCTGGGCATTCGGCCCTGGCCCAGGCCCCGGTCCTGGTCCAGGCCCCGGCCCTGGCACTGGCTGCTGGTTGCCTGGGATCAGAGGAGGAACACTGGTCTGGCGATGCAGAATTTTCTAGGGGCAGAAGGAGGAGAAAGGAGTTCTCTTCTACCCCGCCTCCACAACAGGCTACCACCAATGTCCTACCAATCCCGGAGAAGGCAGCAAGGGACAAACCAGCGCGATCTCCGGGTCGACGATCCTCATGACCACCTGGGCCTGCAGCAGGGCGTAAGCCAGCTGGGGGTTCTGGAGCAGCATGTTCCTGGCTTCCTGGGGGCTGTTTTGGACACACAACTGAGAAGACACAGGCAGATCAGAGCTCTGGCAAGGCGCAACAGGGGCTGCAAGGGCACAGGCAGCGGCGGCAGAAGCTGTGCTCACGCAGAGAATGCAGCCCTCCGCTTCACTCACCTTCATCTGCTTCATCAGCTCAAACATCTGCTCGGGCGGCAGGCTGGCTACTGCCCGGCTGATGGACTCGGGGGCATCTTCAGGATTGACAGGGTCCCCGTAGGGTGACTCTATGATGGGTGCACCTGTGCCCAAGCCTGCAACAGAGTTTTTGACCTTGTATGGCAACATGAACTGGCTGTTTTTAACGGGCTCATCAGAAGGGAAGCACCATGCCATTACAGGGAAAGGGAGGCAGTGAAAACAGGCAGATCATCTGGGAGAGAAAACACAGAGCTGAGCCTATGCATCCCTCTGCAAAACTACTTGCTACATCACTTGGAGCAGGTCAGCTCCATGAGGTCTCCACCTCACTAGCCTCACAGAAGAGGCACGCTTTGTAATGCTGAAAAGGCCCGACCCAGCACGACATCAGTGTGCCCTCCACCACAAAATTCAGACTCACTCTTCAGCTCCTCCTTGTTCTTCTCGCTGGCCGCATTGTCGACGCGCAGGGCCCTCCCACTGAATTCTCGCCCGTTCAGGTTCCGCATGGCACTAAGGGCCGTCTCCTGGTCTTGGTACTCACAGAAGCCATAACCCTTCGGCTTTCCTGTCTCCCTGTCATACACAAGCCTGCACAGCGAGGAGGAGAGAACCATTGCTGCTGAGGGCAGCGCAGGCATCAAGCAATGTGCAGTGCCCACAGCTCCCCGTCACTCGGGAGGGGACCATTGGGGTACACCACACAGGAGCACTGGGGAGGAGAGTGAAGGCATCGGAGTCAGGTCAAGGCACACAACAGTTGGCCCTAAGCCTGAGCCAAAAGGCCTCCCGGATCCAGCTGATGGGTGTTCCCAAAGCTCCAGTGTCCAGGAATACCACCAGCACAAGTGCTGTGCTTCCCATGACCCCATGAAGGCAGGCCCTGGGGGCACAGAACTGGACTGGCTGCTCCTGGAGCTCCCAAGCCCTTAATTGATAGCTCTCTGAAACCAGGTACCAAGCCAGGAAAACATCACCGCAGAGCCACTGGGACGGGAGTGCAGAGCACTCCCACCTCTTTGCATAAAGCCTCATCAGGACCTGAGGATTCTCCTGCCCCGGCTCCACACCACAGCACGGCAGCTGCCCCCAGCCTGGAGGAGCATGCCCACAGTCACGCTGTTATGCTCAGGCCATTATGCTCTACATCTCCAGGATCTCAGGGCCTG